TTACTGCACATCTACATGACACCACCAACCATCTCTTAAAATATGATAAGGCTGCTGAGTAAAATGTAGAAGGAGTTCTGGGAAGAAGGGGCTTTTTGTATAAAAAAACGTCATTTTTCGACCCCCATTTGATCCCCCGGGGCAAAATCAAAATTCCGAAACCTTACTGCACATCTACATGACACCACCAACCATCTCTCAAAAGATGATTAGGCTGCTGAGTAAAATATAGAAGGAGTTCAGAGAAGAAGGGGCTTTTTGTATAAAAAACGTCATTTTTCGACCCCCATTTGATCCCCTGGGGCAAAATCAAAATTCCGAAACCTTACTGCACATCTACATGACACCACCAACCATCTCTCAAAAGATGATTAGGCTGCTGAGTAAAATGTAGAAGGAGTTCAGGGAAGAAGGGGCTTTTTGTATAAAAAACATCATTTTTCGACCCCCATTTGATCCCCTGGGGCAAAATCAAAATTCCGAAACCTTACTGCACATCTACATGACACCACCAACCATCTCTCAAAAGATGATTAGGCTGCTGAGTAAAATGTAGAAGGAGTTCAGGGAAGAAGGGACTTTTTGTATAAAAAAAGTCATTTTTCGACCCCCATTTGATCCCCCGGGGCAAAATCAAAATTCCGAAACCTTACTGCACATCTACATGACACCCCCAACCATTTCTCAAAAGATGATTAGGCTGCTGAGTAAAATGTAGAAGGAGTTCAGGGAAGAAGGGGCTTTTTGTATAAAAAACGTCATTTTTCGACCCCCATTTGATCCCCCGGGGCAAAATCAAAATTCCGAAACCTTACTGCACATCTACATGACACCCCCAACCATCTCTCAAAAGATGATTAGGCTGCTGAGTAAAATGTAGAAGGAGTTCAGGGAAGAAGGGGCTTTTTGTATAAAAAACGTCATTTTTCGACCCCCATTTGATCCCCCGGGGCAAAATCAAAATTCCGAAACCTTACTGCAAATCTACATGACACCACCAACCATCTCTCAAAAGATGATTAGGCTGCTGAGTAAAATGTAGAAGGAGTTCAGGGAAGAAGGGGCTTTTTGTATAAAAAACGTCATTTTTCGACCCCCATTTGATCCCCCGGGGCAAAATCAAAATTCCGAAACCTTACTGCACATCTACATGACACCCCCAACCATCTCCCAAAGGATGATTAAGCTACTGTGAAAAATGTAGGAGGAGTTCAGGGAAGAAGGGGCTTTTTGTATAAAAAACGTCATTTTTCGACCCCCATTTGATCCCCCGGGGCAAAATCAAAATTCCGAAACCTTACTGCACATCTACATGACACCCCCAACCATCTCCCAAAGGATGATTAAGCTACTGTGAAAAATGTAGGAGGAGTTCAGGGAAGAAAAGTGTGACAGACGGACGGACGGACGGACGGACGGACGGACGGACGGACATGAGTAACAACAATATACCCGAACTTTCTTTCGAAAGTGCGGGTATAACAAAGGATTGTTTATTCAACAGCATATGCATGAATATTTGAAGCACTGGATATAACAATCATTCTCAAAACGTTAATACAATAATGCGTCAAACAATCCGTGGACTACAAAAGACTAATTTCATTCATATAATGAAAGTAAATTACACACAATATTAGAAAGGTTCAGAGTTTTTTATGATTGAAAAAGAATTTTTAAGATATTGTGTCATTTCATTCACTTACACTTGTACCACAGGGGCATCTTATCCACTCTGTTCTCTACTTCACATATAAAATGTGTATTTTTATATGTGAAGTAGAAAACAGAATGGATAATTAAGATGCCACTCTGCTTGTACTCTACATGCAGATAAATAATAAAAATAGAAAAAAAACTTAATTGCGTTAATAAGAAAGTGGTTCCATGAAGGCTAGAGGGTATTTCCGTTCGACTATTACGATAAAATCTCCTATTGTCGAGTGCTAATATGAGACGTTAGGCTGGAAGAGGGACAGACAACTGAGAGTAATAATTAGGACAGGTGTTTGAGATCTCTAAATACTAGTCCTAGGTAGAATTGTGAATAACTCTAAATATAGTTATTTTACATACATCAATCGAAAATGCACAAAAACTTGAATATGAAGAAATTGCATTTAGCGTTATGATAAAGTTATTTTAAAAACGCTAAAGAACTGTTTTCCAAAGATAAAAGTTTCTATAATTTTTTTTTCAAACCACCATTTAAAATTCCTTTTCACCTATAGATTTGTCTCTGAATAGCCGTTGTTTTCCAGCTTTTCACAATGAAAATATGAGATGAAAAGTGGTTACATAAACTGATATTAATTCATTAAAGATTCATCAATGAGAGAAAGTCAAACTTAATGTCATATGATATCTGTGTTGTATGTCATAGATTTCAGGACATTATTTATTAAACAGCCCTCGTAAATAATGGGAGATTTTTTAAAGAGATAAGAGACATAGTTCACTTGAGAACAAAAGTCCATAAAACAAAACAAAATAGGAGGAGAGCAAACACGGACCTCCAAATCATCATTACCTTTAAAACAAACCAATACTAAACATGTGCATCAAACACACATTCCCACATACAACAGTTCATTTCATTTTGATACGTTTCAAATAAAACAATCTAATTAAATATTTCACAATCGATTGTTTATTCTCAGGTATTTTTATTTTTATTAATATTTTTTTAAGAATCATGACGCAGAACAAACAGCACATGTTAGTTCCCGACCTTCTACGTAGGGCGGACAGTTCAGCGACCCACATCGAGACTCCACTGGATAGAAGAGGTAGCCATTATGGTTCGCATGGCCCCCAGCAACAGTATCAGGATGTTTGTCAATACAAGTATACATTGTACCAGCCTTAAACCCATGATATCCTGACATAAGGTGACCTTTGTACTCTAACCTCCAACCTCTGCAGCAGGATTTTCTTGCTAAGGAAAGTATCTACTATTATTATAAAAATTACAGTTTTAAAGTATGTGATTCATGCTTTATATGTATTTTTGTATATTTTTTCTTTACTTCATAACACCCCTTTTCATCAGATTATCAGATTACAATAACATGGACTAACAATGGCAATTTTTAAAAGAGAGTTATTCAAAGATAGAAATCAAATACCTGGAAAAACTGCTGTTGTTGGTTTATCTTTCAGAAGACAAACAGCACATTGTACATTGTGATTGTAAAGTTTAGCAAAATGTCCATCATGCGTTTCATATTCAGAGCCATACACATACCCTCTCCAAGTTTCAACTTTATCCTTATATCTCTCCCACTCAGGATTTCTTGGCAAACAAAAGGGGTCTACTGCTGTTCCTGGATCGGTATAGTGTGAACCACCTACATAACCTGTGGAAATAAAGCTCTTTTAAGATAATGTCGCTTTGTTGGGAATTAAACGTCGGTGTTTTTGGCAGTTTATTCTTGAGAATTTAATTCGCTAGCTTATTTTCATTACCTGGTACATATAAATAATTTCTTGTCTCCAAACAATCGCTGTACCTTTAGTATTCTCATTGTTACAGCATTTTTATTTCAAAAGTTTAGATAAAAATCAAATAAGACGTTCTTGAGAAGTTGAAAATGTTTAAAAAAAAAACAGAAGGCAAAGGTCTAAGAAACTCTGGAAATAAATAAACATCCCATCCATCAAACGTTAGCTCATCCCCACTCTAAAAAATAACATATCGCTTTTATACATACCTGAATGGACATTATTATTTAATATTCTACTGTACGGAAGCCCCTTGAGGCCAGTTCTGAGAGAGAAATATTTTTTATGAGAGAGATATCTCTTTTACTTAGAGAGATATCTTTATAAGCTAGAGAGATATCTCTTTTAGTAAGAGAGATATCTTTATAAGCTAGAGAGATATCTCTATAAGCGAGAGAGATATCTCTTAAAGTTAGAGAGATATCTCTTTAACAAGGTTAAAAGAGATATCTTTCTTAGTTGGAGAGATATCTCTTTAGATGTTCAAAAGGAGATATCTTTATAAGCTAAAGAGATATCTTTTTTAATGAAAGAGATATCTCTTTTCCAGTGATGCTTAAAATAGAATAATTAATTCTCCCTTTTAAAGCGAAAGTGAAACAGGAAGTAAAGTCTCTGGAGAATAATACATATACTGAAGAAAAAAAATGCTATAAAGCCTTTACTTGAAGCAACAAATAATAATGGTAACTTCGTTGATAAAGATGCTAAAAGTTTAATATTCTGGAAAACGAAAGTAAGCATATATATAATCTCAAATGCAATGGGCTGAATTTTCTCAGTTTATGAAATAATCAACTATTTCTAATTTGATCCGTCAATAAAAAGCTTACTTCCGGTCAGGAAAAAGTCATTTGAAATGGAATTTAAATACAAAAATATGAAGAGAGATGTCTCTTTGAAACAAAGAGATATCTCTTTTTGCTTGAGAGATATCTCTTTTATATAGACACTTTTGAAAGATATCTCTTTCACTTTCAGAGATATCTCTTAAGATAAACTGAGAAAGATATCTCTTTTACTTAAAGAGATATCTCTTTGACTTGGAGAGTTATCTCCAAAAGTAAAAGAGATATCTCTCTAGGTGAAAGAGATATCTCTTTATCGTTTAGAGATATCTCTTTTCAGGAAAGAGATAACTCTAAAGGAGAAAGAGATATCTTTTCAAGTGGAAGAGATATCTCTAAAAAAAAAGAGATATCTCTCTAAGTAAGAGATATCTCTTTCTCATTGAGATATCTCTTAAAAATTAGAGATATCTCTTTAAGTTGAGAGATATCTCTATATTTTAAGAGATATCTCCCTTAAATGAGAGATATCTCTGTAAATTAAAGATAAATTTTATTTTCCGAATAAATAGTAAAAGGGCTTGCCATAAATTTGTGACAATTTAAGTTGAAAACACGGTCATATTCGAGTTCTATAAAATAATGTATAGGCTTTTTATAACATATTTAAATAAGTGTAGTTTTTATTTAATGTTCATGAACAAAAGAATGAAGTTTACATCAGTTGATAACTCTAAATTTGACCATACTAAATATACAATGTCAGTGACTTTAAAATATTGATAAAACAATTTATTTATTGCACTGTGTCAATTACACACAATCTAGAATATAAGTCACGTTTATAATTAGGGAGGAAATCAAAACTTATTATAAGTGCAGTACACTAACATTCCCAAGCCTTTGATTGGACGATACATAGGTTGCAAATTAAGTCTCGTTTCGAAATTAGTACTTAAATAGATTCCAGTGAAGCTTTATACATCCATTTACCGCGTAGGAAAAATTGCAGGAATCACAAAAGATGAATTTTTTTTCTATTTTGTTATATTTGGGCTTTCTAGCAACCATCTCACAGGGACAAGACTGTTATGATGACCAGGGTAACGCTCAAATGTGTAGCCCTCCGTTTGTAAATGCTGCCTTCAATAGGTCCGTCCAGGCCACCAACACGTGTGGTCAGGCGGGGCCCACAGAGTTCTGTCCTTTTTCACGGTGGGGTCAGCCACTACCCTGCCAGGTCTGTGACGCTCAGAGTCCCAGGACAAGGCACCCCCCGCAAATGACGACGGACGCGGAATTTCCCAGAACCTGGTGGCAGTCAGATACAATGTTAGAAGGGATAAGGTACCCTGTTGTGGTCAACCTAACTCTGGATTTCAGTAAGTAGAGACATTGAGTATATATTTTGTCCGTCAATGTTCTTTAAAGCTTGCTTGTTTTAAATACATTGAGTGCATAATTTGTCTTATGATGTAAATTTCCCTGTTTTAAGAAAAAAAATTGTGAGTTTTGAAATGGATAAAAGTAATGATATACTTTATTAAGCAATGCTTATTTTCATTCATGTTAGAAATAATCTTTTCTTTCTTTCCAGAAAAAGCCTACGATATTACTTATACCAATTTGCGTTTCCAAACTCCAATTCCTGAAAGTTTTGCAATCTACAAGAAAACTACTGAAAGCAGTGATTGGACGCCATATCAATTTTTCAGTGCGTCCTGCCGGAGTACATATGGAAAACCTGGTAGGCGGTTTCCAATTACAGCCGACGAAGCCATCTGTACGTACCAATACAGTGACCTTTTCCCATTGTCTGGTGGTCGTGTTCCATTTAGTACTTTGGGAAGTCGCCCTGGTGCGTTTAGTTACGACAATAATCATGTCTTGCAGGTATGTCCTAATGAAATGTTCGTAATTTTTCTTTAATCTTTTGAACGAATGAACATTAATGCAAATTCAACTTCGTCTATTATCCTTCTCTTAAAGCGAATTTCCAGACCAAGGTACACAAATTAACCCCTCCCTCCTTATTTTTTTTTTTTATCAGGAATGGGTAACAGCCTCAGCTATACGGATTTCCCTCACGCGAATGAATACCTTTGGTGACGAGGATTTTGGTGGCGATACGGTCTTGAAATCATATTACTACGCCATTTCTGATATAAGTGTTGGTGCCAGGTACTAAAATGGAATGTTTTAGTAGATATGTTATAATTATAGCGAATGGTTAAATGTTTTGGCCTTTCTTGAGATCTAAAAACATACATGTTCATCAAAAAAGGTCCAGGCCTGGGGGCCATAAAACTTAGACGAGCTCACTTATGATCTCAGTCTCACTTTTTCCAAAGGAATATATAGTTGAAAAGTGAGACTGAGATCAAAAGTGAGCTCGTCTAAGTTTTATGGCCCCCAGACCAGGACTACTCTATAAACATTGATTTGTACAAAATGTCTCAGAAAAAACATTTTTAATACTTCAGGGAAACCTTTTTGAAGAATAGTTTTATGATTCTATACACGTTACAGTCTAAAAGAACCATTTGTATATTTCTAGGTGTAAGTGCAATGGACATGCCAGTGAATGTTATACTCCAGATGGTCAAGAATCAGACAGAGAAGTTTGTAGATGTCAACACAACACAGCTGGAGTTGACTGTGAAAAGTGTCTGCCTATGTACAACGACAAACCGTGGGCAAGAGCAACACCTAGCAGCGCTAATGAGTGTCAGCGTAAGTAATCAAATAATGTCAAATAAGAATTTTTCCCTTGAATTTATTTATGCATGAAAAGATACGATTTTGATGAGTATTAATTTTCAAATTCGGAATTTGAACAAAATTTCTCTTTTCTCACTTTTCTTTAGTCTCAGTTGTTTTATCACACTCCTACAAAACAACCAACTCAAAATCAAGTGATAGAAATTTGAGTAATCATTGATAGAAAGGATATTCGTATTAGGTTGTGAGTGTAACAACAAAGCCGACAGCTGCTATTTTGATCAGGACCTGTATCAGAGAACAGGGAGGGGAGGTCGTTGTGTCGACTGTAGGGACAACACAGACGGTCCTCACTGTGAGAGGTGCAAGGACAACCACTATCTAAGGTCATCAGATGGAAGGTGCACCTCGTGTGATTGTGATCCTATTGGTATGTGTGTTTTTAAAATTCGAAGGATTGTATATATACAAGTACTAAAAATGGACGTTTTTCGTTTGTGTAATTCAAAGTTGTTTTAAATTTAAATGTCAGAATAGAAAATTGTTATGTTATTATTTGATGTAGCTTAAATAATTACCATATTTAAAACATTTTCTGATTGTTCAACATTTGTATGGACAAGCTATATGAATTTACAATTTGTAACTCAAAGTATGAAAAATAAACATTAAATTGGTCTGAGAGAAGTGGATGGGGTAAATAACACTGCGTAAACCTGACATGAACTTTTGACATGAGTGAGTCAAATATGAAATTTTATTTAAATCAATTTGTCAGGTTCTGATACTCTTCAATGTGATGGGACTGGGCAATGCCAGTGTAAATCAGGTTATACAGGAGAAAAATGTACAAGGTTTGTTATTTTTTCAATTAATCTTTTTCTTTCTCAGTCCAATCTCAGTTGATTCGATACGCAAGAGCATGCTATACGTGTGAACAATTTAAAAAACGAGGTAAATTATTGACAAACAAGTTGATGAAACAGGAATATCAGCAGTCTCGTTTTAAGTCATCATTTTGCAAGTTCTTTTGTCGATACTATGACTTTGTCAGCAAATACAAATTATCATTCAATGAATGAAATACTGACTGACGTTTTTCATACTAATTGTTAGTTCATTATTGAATTGACGTTGGATTTTTTCCGTTATTTCCCGATCATGACAAGGAGCACACGGCGGGTGTAATGACCGGTCGGCAGGGGATGCTTACTCCTCCTTGTCGCCTGATTCCATCTCTAATATTTGCTCTGTTCCTGTTATATATTGTTTTATAAATTTGTGATGTTGAATACTGTTTGTATGTTTAATTTTACTGTTCTTATGTTTAATTTTCTCTCTAATTCTAAATTACTTATGAACTATAAGATGATTGGTTGACTAAATTGATTCAGTCTTACGTGACTTAATAAAATCCCTTAAAAAGCAATTATTTTTTATAAATACTGGCACATTTTCCTGATAATGCATAGGATTAACATCATTTAATTGATTATAATTTCCATTACGTGATATTTCAAATTTTGTAAAACTTTGCTACAATGTATGATAAAAAAAATTGTATGAAATTCCTGCTCTAATACGAAAACAACCTGAATGATGATGTTTGTCATCTTTCTAGCATTGAGAAGCGCATCAAGTTTAACAAAGTAGTTGGATGCAAAAATACTAGTAAAATGATCGAGTGATTTTCAATCAGTTTAAACATGTTAAATGTTTAAGTTTCATTTCTTTACATTTCATATGTAATTTTCAAAGAATGTATCTAAATGTTCTTTAATGATACAAATACATACTTTTTTGTAGATCGTCATCCAGAAGTTGAATACTTCAAATGCCTTCCAGAGATTTCAAACTTTCACAGAGAAGGGAAACAAATATTTCTATTACTCGTTAATGTATATCCGTTTGTAAGAAAACAGGTAAAGAAATAAAATGATTAAATATTAATGATTTATGTTTTTTTGATGAAAATCTTTTTGGGGGGCAAAATCGTTGTAATTGACTTTTCCCCCCATGGAAATAAAATATAATGAAATATATGGAGATAACGAACAGTTTTCTAAAGTCCATTTAAACAACACAAATCAGGAGCAAAGCAAACAGACCTCTAAAACATCAGAGGTGGGATCAGGTGCGATGAGGGATGAGCCCTGCCGACCAGTCACAACTGCCGTTTGTTCATTGTGTTCAAATTGTCAACAATCTCATTGCGGAAAGTTTGAACACGTTCCAAAAATAAGCTTTATTTTATTTAAAAGCATAAATTGATATGTTTTCTCTTTTTTTGTAATTTTTTTTTTACATATGCCAGTTCCACAAAGAATTTTAAATGTCTTTCTTACCTTTTGCTTTTTTTTTCTTTTGATGATGTTTCCTTTTTTAAGCATACTGTTACTCTAGGCAACATAATTATGTTGCATTGACAATGGGAAACTTAAAATCATCTTGTTTGTCATACGCTCTTAGTTGACACTCTCGACAGACAGTCAAACACCAATAAATAGGAAAAAAAGTGTGAGGGACTATTTGACGTCTTTATTTACGATTTTACTTTGATATATATGAGTTTAAATATAAATGGAAATAACTAAAGTGTAATATTAATAAAAATCTTCATCACGATTAAACTTGATGCAGAATATTTTAACGTAAATTATTATTGCTCAAAGTTTTGTATTTTTTGTAATATTTTTCTAAAATCAATGTAATTATTGGTCTCTATGTAGAATTTGAAGATCAGGGTTCGTATGCATAAAAATTCTTAAGTCCTTAAGTACTGTTTTTCTACTTTAGCAGACTGAAATTTTACTTAGCATATTGCTCATCATATGCAGGTTGCAAAAAACTTCTCAACTCTTAAGTATATGCTCAGCATAATATGCTTAAAGTTAAGCATGGTCTATACCTGTCCTAAGTTTATAAGTATATTGCTCAATATATTTCTAAGAGCTAATTACACAAAAATAATTAAAGGAACTTTACAAAAATAAAAATAGACAACATGAAGAGTATTAAATTCAATTAATTAAATCATAATCTGCATGTATCCACTTTATTTTGTAGATTTTATAACTTTTCTAGAAGTTAGAAATTTAGTATGAAAACGGTTTAAAACATGACGTCATTTGATTGTTTCGTAGCTTTGTCAGCACTTGTGAATACAAAGTCACCCTTTTTGAGATCATCATTGTACTCCATTATGTTATATTATTCTTACATTATCAAAAAAAGCAGATTTACATGTATTCCATATATTACACATGTAATTCTCATGCAGTCGGCACACCAAGAGAGAGAGAGAGAGAGAGAGAGAGAGAGAGAGATAATGACTTTGTATTCAGAAAAGTGCCAAATACTACACAGATTATATACACACATGCGAAAGGAAACTTTTATTCATTGCGGGAAAAGTGTGTATCATACATGCCCTCTAATTTAAAAAAAAGTTTAATTAAAAAAATAATTTGATTCGCTTTTTCTCTGGAATATACAATTTTTTCTCTACACCCTCCTCAGTTTATTCACCTCTCTCTCTCTCTTTCTCTCTCTCTCTCTCTTGAGATGATAAAACGTATCATCAATATTAAACAAAGTATTTTAATCTATTAAAGTGATCAAATATTAAAACAAATTGTTATATAAAGGAAGGTGAATAATTAAAATGAATATGAACAATATTTTTCATAATATTATTTCTTTGCTTCTTTATCATATGTTTATATTTTTAAAAGTGATAGCGGAAGTGACTTTATTGATATGGCAACAGTGTACTTAAGCAGATTGCGATATGCTTAGCTAAGAATTGTCAAGTATGTTGCTTAGAATTTTTATGCAATGGAAATTAAGCTTGTTACTCAGCTAAGTATATGCTTAAGAAATTTAAGCATATACTTCAGAAAATTCTTAGAATTTTTATGCATACGAATCCAGGTCTTTGAACAATCTGTTGGAATTCTCGTTGCCCCCTCCCCATCATTAGCAGACCTATTTTTGAATTTAAATATTCTACATGAGTAGAAGAAAACACTTTTGACCTTCAGCTCGACAATTAGATATACCGACGATGTAATATCAATTAACATTTATTACTTTCATTTGTATTTCGATTCGATATATCCGACTGAACTAAAAATAAAAGAATTCTTATTACACGTACATCTGTTCTAATATTTGTATATTGTTACAGAAATAGACCTTAATGGTAAACTTACAAGAAAAGTGTATGATAAACATGATGAATTTCAAGTTTTCTGTTGTCAACATTCCTTACTTAAATATAATTATATAAGTACATGTACCTGAATAAGGGACTTGTATCTACCAGTTGATTTGATACGAAATGTCATGCTCTACATACGAACAATTTTTCAGAAAGAGGCAATCCATTACCGGAAACAAAGTTTTGTTTGAAGGCATGCATTTCACAAATTCCTTGGTATAGGGATCTTATCAGCAAAATCTAATATTGGGCCATTTTTAGGCCATAATGAACACACTGAAATTTCTACGGACCTTTAAGTTTACGAGATCATGACAAGGAACCCACGGCAGGTATGACCTGCCAACAGTAGATGCTGACTCCCCATAGGCACCAGATCCCACTTGTCATGTTTTTGGAGCTCCAGATTTGTTTTATTTAAAATAAATATTAATGTGTGTGAAACATAACAAACTTGATATCATAATGTATATTTCAGTTTATGTACTTATAATTCAAATTTCATCTTTAATGGTCAATTCTAGGTCAATATCCTTCTGCACATAGTGTTTTTATGAGTTGGAAAGGTTAGATCAAGATTGATTTTTTTTTTTACATTCACGAACAAACTGCTTAATTTTTGTCAAGTGTAGCAATTTCGAAATGTTTCAAACAAAATAAAAAAAAAACAATTCACGTAGAATGATATTTGTTTAAGTTAAATAATGAACTCTCTCGTGAAATGATTGAAGAGGCAAATTTCTAAATCAAACTTGACTAATTTCACATATAAATGTTGTTTTTCCAAAGAAACAAATTAAGGAATTTTAGAGGTTGTTTTGAGGGTAAAAAAGCAAAGACACTTTTGCCTTTGAAAAAAGTCTTTGACTTTTTTAATAACATTTTCAAGAAGCACATGCTATTTCTTCATTTGCAAAAGTTTGAGTGTTTTCATGTCTGTAAAGTGACTATATTTAACGCTACCAACAACTCGTTTTAAAACTTGTATTTTGAGATATTAAACACATGTCCTACTTATTCCTCTAAGTTGCTTGAAGTGCTTGAATTCCTCTTCAAACCTAGCTTTTCATAATAATTTAGCACTCAATTATGTTAAGTGTACATTTATCTGTGGAGTACAAAAAGTAAGTAAAATGAAAGCATATCTTAAAAATTATTCTTCAGTAACATTGTCATAAAAAATAAGAAAAGCTTAGTAATCTAAGATTGTACGTAAATTTCTTTTATCAGATCATAGAACATGTGTATAGTCATCGGGTAGTTTGACGCATCATTGTATAACGTTTTCAAAAATGAGCGTGATGCCTGGTCTAGTACTATTTTAATATGATGTAGAATAAGCAATACTTCGTTTTAAATCTCTAATTATCTTCGACCTACATAACAGAATACATTTCGAAATGTCAGATATTTCGAAAATCTGTTCAGGTACATACATAACATAGGAATAAAAAAATCCCTAAGAACTCGACCCCCCTTTTTTATTTGAGTTTTTTTTTCTAAAATTGAATTTTATAAGGAATTTTATACGCCCTTAATTACGTGTTTTTAAACAGAGTGTGGAGGAGGAAAATAAAGTACAATTACTCAATCAAACAAATTGGACAAAATCTGACAAAATTATGGTTGAAGATTAAATACTACATGTGCCAGTACACATAAAAGAAACAAAGAAACCTTATCTGCCAATCTCATGTATGCGTTTGGTGGTTTCATAAAACAGGGAAAATAATTTTTTTTATTACTTGAAGCCATTTCATCCAATATAAACCTTTAAAAAAGAAATGATGTTATTTTTTTAATATACTTTTGCTTACAATTATTTGATCAGATTTAATATACATTTATAAATGTTTTCCTGCAAGTACTAAAATTGAAGAATACATATTTTTCATAAAAACGTTATGCTGTTTTTATTAGTCTCATCATGAATATTGTTTAAGTAAAATTGTATAAAGATCATAATATAGACTACTAATGTAATTTTAATGAATAGGTGGCCGTCTAGAAATTTCTTCTAAGAAATATAAATATGAAATTTTACGACAGACTCTTTTATGCAAACTGTTCTCAACTAATTCTTAATGATTATATTTATTACCTTTTGTCAGTGCTTGTGGATGGTTAAACGTATTCTTGAAATATAACCTTATTTGCGTAACAAAGGATGTGTATAAACAACATTAGAAAGGGATGGATCCGAGTTTCAAGGGAATATGCATAATTATACTCTTTTCTCCTTGTTTAATCATTCATGGGTATATACCCTTTTTAGCTCACCTGAGCCGAAGGCTCAAGTGAGCTTTTCTGATCACATTTTGTCCGGCGTCCGTCTGTCCGTCCGTCCGTCTGCCTGTCCGTCTGTCCGTCTGTCTGTCTGTAAACTTTTCACATTTTCGACTTCTTCTCAAGAACCGCTGGGCCAATTTCAACCAAACTTGCCACAAAGCATCCTTGGGTGAAGGGGATTCAAGTTTGTTCAAATGAAGGGCCACGCCCTTATTCAAGGGGAGATAATTGGGAATTAATGAAAATTTAGTGGTATATTTTAAAAATCTTCTCCTCAAGAACCACTGTGCCAGGAAAGATGAAACTTATGGGGAAACATCCTCAGGTAGTGTAGATTCAAGTTTGTTCAAATCATGACCCCCGGGGGTAGGGCGGGGCCAAAATGGCCGACCAAAGTTTTACCTAGAAATATATAGGAAAATTCTTTAAAAATCTTCTT